TGTATCTGTGAGTCTCTTTGTGTTTCTCTGGATTTGTTCGTTTGTTTCATTTTTTTTTTATTTCACATATAAGTGAAAACATAAAGCATTTATTTTTAATCTGTCTTTATTGCATTAAAAATGCAGATACACTGCCAAAAAAGTTAGCAAAGAGTTTTACACAAAGATGGAAATAAAAATTACCTATAATCCTATCAGTCTCAGAATTCTCCAGAGAAGCAGAAGGCTATACAGTAGCTATATTAAGAGACTTATTTCAGGAATTGGCTCACACAATCGTGGAGGCTGGCAAGCCTGACACCCATAGACAGAATTCCTTCTCTGGGAAACCTTGTTTCCTTCCTTTCTTATCCCTTCAACTGATTGGATGCAGCCCACCCACATTTTAGAGGGAAATCCCTTTTAAGCCTCCTTAAGGTCAACTAACTGCTGATGTTAATCCCACCTACCAAAAAACCTCCGCTGCAACACCTAGACCGATGTCTGACCAAGCAGCTGGGCACCACAGCCTCGCCAGCATGACACAAAACTGCACCATCACACCTACTATTCAGAAAGAACCATGGTTGTTAACATATTAGTTTATGTCCCTCTAGAGATTTACATTGAGAGGTAATTTGTGTACAAAATTGATATTTTATAATATGTGGCATTTCATATTCTCAGTTTTTATTTAACATTGTACCTTGACCATGTCTTCATCTTCTCTAAAGTAACCTTTCACATCATTATATTTGGTTTTTGGTGGGGGAGGGAGTAATTAGGTTTATTTATATATTTTTAATGGAGGTGCTGGGGATCGAACCCAGGACCTTGTGCATGCGAAGCACATGCTCTACCACTGAGCTACACCCTCCCCGCTCATCATTATTTTTGATGGGGCATAGAAACGCATTGTGTTGTCATTCGGTACTTGTATTTGTCCAGTATTTCACAGTTGGGCACTGAGGTTGTTCCCAGTCTTTCACGTGTTAATTTAAATAAATGCTGCAATGAGCATCCTTACTGATAAATCTTTGTGCAATAAATCTGTAGTGGATGAAAACGGTACCCACCCAAATCCTCTTTCTCATCAATGGCTCACATGTGCCCCCTTGTCCAAAAACGACCCCTGGCCCAACAGCCTCTCCCAGGAAATTATGTCCCACAGCCAACAACTGACAGACATTTGGGAGGGAGGCACACAGGACCAACGTGGGGCCCTTTCCTTAAAGTGGGACCAACTCCGTGGTGCAATTTACCCTCCAGGCTGCAGGTGGGGCCCAGCCAAGGTCATGTGCTTACTTGGCTCCTCCCCTGCGCGGTCCTGCTCCCCGCCCCCTTCTCCTGAGGAAGTGTGCTCTCAGCAGAACACCATCTCTCATTCTGCTTCAAGTAAACCCAGCTTAAGACAGTATCTCTGAATATTGTTTTGAGGGTGACTTCTGTTGAAGAGATAACAATGGCCTCCAAATTTTCTATTGCGTAGCTGGGCTGTTTCCAGGTTAGGTTTTCTTAAAGGGAATCCCTCCGATGAATCAGTTACTTGTAGCACTGGGTGGGCAGAGATTCCTGAAGCCCAGGGTTTTTTCCCTGAAGCCCAGCAATGATGGGAGGGAGGGGTACCCCGGTGCTTGAGGAAGAGCAGGAGTGCCCTGGACCCTTTCCTTCCCTGCATCTTCAAATGCCCGGGCCCTCTCCTGATGAAATCACGAAAATCCTCCAGGGCATCTATCATTTCCCTAAATGGGGAGTTGCTCAGGAATGAGGAAGTGAGACAAAGGAATTTGGACAAAGCAAAGGGGATTATGTGGTCCAGCAAGAACATCTCAGTGGCCTGGATTCTTGGAATTATGTAGCTCATGAGTCTCCACTGTGTGACCTTGAGCAAGTCTCTTGACTTCTCTGGGCTTCAGTTGATAAGCGCTTCCTTCAGAAGGCGGTTCTCCCAGCCTACATCTGACTATTTGTCTTCCCTCTGGCTCTCCAGATGGAAGTGCGATCTTCCGAGGCTGCTTCCGGCGGCCCGACAACCTCTCCCTGGCCTTGCCGGTGACGGCCGCCATGCCCAACATGTCCGTGGACAAGTGTGTGGATCTCTGCACGGAGAAGGTGAGCCTGGTTCTGCTCACAGAACTCTGGGGAGAGCAGTGTGGAACAGCTGGAAGAACGGGATGCTTGGCTGGAGAAGCCCCCACGCCACCGGGATGAGGGAGTTCATTACTGTGATCTGTGATGTGGGAGAGGAATGTGACCGTTTCATGTGGATCCAAAGGGTAGAGGTCCATTTCTTTCCCTCCGAGGAAGTGTGTTTGTTCTAATAGTGGGGACCACTCAAGAATGAGGGTGACATGTGAACCTAGAAGCGTGAGTAGAAGATTGCCAGGTAAAGGCAAGGACAGCCCCATCTTGGGGTAGAGTGAGTTCTCCATCACTGGAGGCAGGCAAGTGGAGGACGGGCAGGTGTGGCATCCAGAACTGTGGGCATTGGATAGCTGTTTGCCTGGATGATCCAACTGGATAGTCCTGTCTCAGCCTGAGACCCTTGATGGCTGACTGTTCATCCTTCCTCCCTAGCCAGACAGGGAAATACACAAGAGTGGACACTGTGCCTAAAATATTTTGTGACCACCCCAGTACCCAGCACAGAGCTAGGCACATCGGTGGCATTCAGCGATGTCTGAGGAGCTCCATTCTTCACTCAAGATGCAGTAATTACATGAGGGTCCAAAGGAGAACCATCTCTCCCACCACCACAGGAAGGTGGTTGCCCATTTCATTGACTAACTCATCTAATATTTGATGTGAAATGCCTTTGTTCCAGGCTCCTGTCTTCAGTGCTAGGAGTGCAAAGTGAACAGAACATGGTCTTTGTCCTCAGTGATGCTAGCATTTACCTGTTTTGTGGCTCTTCCTGGGTGCTCAGCCTGCACCCCGACTCCTGAGTGCCCCCACCTGCTCTGACTCATCCTGCTTGACTCTTTCTTTCATCAAGGGTCCAAATTCATGAAGCACCTCTCAGGAAGACCGAGAGGCAGCACCACCGAGGCTACTGTTACTAAGCAGTCCTCTGTCCCACAGGTCACACAGTTTACCTCTCACAACAAGGCTAGGCAATGGGAGTTTTCATCCCCATTTCACAGACGACAAACCAAGGCTCAGACAGGTGAAGTCACTTGCTCAAGCTCACAGCACAAGCAAGGAGCGGGACTGGGGCTGACAGCAAATCCATGCTCTCGATTTCTGAGCTACCCCAGAGACCACACAGAGAGGGCCCCACAAGCCATTCAGGGGCAGCCAGGCCACTTCGAGTCACCCAGCACTTCCCGGGTGCTTGCTCTGTTCCCAGGAGGCATCCTGGAAGGTCAAGGGCAGAGTTCGCAAGATTAAAGGAGATTTGATCATCTTTTTTGGTCCAGCTTTTTCTCTTGGGCTGGAATCCCCCTCTCCTATGGCGTCCCCTCCAGATGGACATTCCTCTGTCCTGGGGGTCCTGGAGGAACCTACAGATCAGCTGGAGGTGGGGGAACAAACGTGGGAGACAGTGAGGTGACAAGATCAACTAATGTGAAACAGGGTCCAACTGTACACAGGACTGGAGGGAAGCGAAGATGCGTGTGTGGATGGGGATGCTACAGGAAGACCCCACTGCAAAACTCCCTCTTCTGGTTTCCTCTAATCGCTTTGAGGATCACAGGAGGAAAATTGGGAGGATTAAGTAAACAGGCATACAGAGCTCCTTGTGCCAAGTGGTGGAGATTTAGGGTGTCAGAGGGGGCTTCAGTGTGTGTGACCTGCTACAAAACGCCATCAGTCACAGCCCAGGCCGACCCACCAGCATAGCAGCATCTCTCTGCTCCGCTCCGTGCTGCAGTTCACATTTAACATCCGTTAGAAAGAAGCCAGACCCACCATGGTAAATCTCAGATCCAGCCCCAAAGGTGTGACCTTGGTTTGTGACCAGATTATCCCTGGACCAGCTACCAGGGAGAATTCAGGTCCAGGAGCCTGAGTAGAAGCAAATTGGACAAAGGACAGTCCGTTGCCCTGCAAATCTCAGGTCTCCCTCCTTCCATAGAACGAACAAAGAGCTTAGAAGCAGCTCTCCCAGCAAAGACTGTGGCTACCCGGAAGTACCAACAGCCTCTTTGGCTTAAAAGAATGGATTCAGACAGCTTTTCCCAAGGCAGGGGCTTCACATCACTGTCAGACCCAGAGGATTTATTACGGTATAATGCATGGCTGTGAGAACATCATTTCTTTTTCAGTTTTCTTTCAAGTCCTCCAGGATAAAGTTGCTTCTCAGTGCTAAAGTGTCTTTAACACCTCTCTCCCCTCAACTAATCTCTCTTTTGCAGGAAAAAAAGGAGTCGACCTCCAGGCTCAGAGTCTTGGCAGGCAGAGTGCCTAGTTAAGAATGTCACCCCATTGTTTTGTTTCTATAGTATTGGGGTTTATAGCATAGAAATGTGGAAAAACGCTGCTGCTTCTCCAGCACTACTTGCCGGAGTGATGTAAAGCTTCCTTTGAAATCTGAGTTTCAGAAACTTCACTGACACATGAAAGAAACAAGTTAATAAATCATAGTACAGGCAAACGAAAAGGAACCTGGTAATTGCATGAGGTGATGGGTGTGTTAAGCTGCTTGTGGTGATCATTTCACAATGTGGACATAGATCAAAACCTCAAGGTGTACACCTTAAGTACATACAATTTTTACTTGTCAATTATACCTCAAGAAAGCTGGAAAATATAAAAGTACAGGAGGTATACAGATAGGGAAAAAAATCATAAAAGGGGGGTTTACTAGTGATGTCTGGGGGCCCTGGAGCTGGGGAGAGTGATGGAGAATGCAAATATGGTTCTGCGTCCCGAGCTGGGCTGTCCGGGGATTTGGTGGTTTTCTTCCCTTTCTCCTCCCATCTCATCCCCAGGAGTACCCGCTGGCGGCCCTTGCGGGCACCGCCTGCCACTGTGGGTTCCCCACCACGCGATTCCCCCTCCATGAGAGAGAGGACGAACAGCTCTGTGCCCAGAAGTGCAGCGCGGAGGAGTTTGAGAGCTGCGGGACTCCCAGCTACTTCATCGTGTACCAGACGCAGGTCCAAGGTAAGCCAGCAGCCCCCCTACCACCCAATCCAGCAGACCCCCCAGGAGCTCCCTCAATGGGCTCTCTCTCCCAAAGATGCTCCAGCGAGCCCATTCCATCCAGCCTGTCGGCAAGAGAACTGTGCAGACCAGAGGGCAGAGGGCAGAGACAGGGCTGGTGCACTCGGCCAGGCTTAGAGATCCTGGATGTGAAACAGAGGGCAGGTCCCAGGCAAGAAGGGTGGTTCTGAAGACCTTCATCTGTACCTCTCCTACTGAGGACCCCCTTGGTGGCTCTTGCTGTAATGGGAGCAGTGACATTGAGGGGGAAGACATCTGAGCTGGCAGTGGGGGACTTGGGTCTCCAGCACACACTGCATGATCCTGGGTGAGCCATTTCCCCTTTCTGTGCCTCAGTTTCTCCATCTGTAAAATGAAGCTGTAGAGTGTTGGCCTTCCAATTCTAGGATTCCATAAATGTATCCATCAATTTTTCTTCTCTTTCTCCACCTTTCCGCTTTCAGCCTTTTTCCTTTGCTAGTGGAATCCACAGTTAACGCTTACATCCTCTTCCATCTCTTGGGGCTACCAGATTGTGATGAAGGTGGTGGTGAGGGTGGTATTCAGGGTCTCTCAAGGACTTTCTTTGTGCCAGACCCAGGCTTTGGTCTTTCATGTGCATTTTCTCACTGCCTCCCCTTGGCTTTCCTATGAGGTGGGAACAATCACTATGCCTACATTACAGGTAGAGAAACTGAGTCTCAAAATAGATAAAGGACTTGCCTGAGGTCATGCTGTTTATAAAATTTCTAGATAAAAATCTCTTCTCCCGATGGAGGCATCATGAAGGGTGTGGCACTGGGAGAGGTGACTTGCTGGGGTGCTCAGCCCAAAGGAAAACCCTGACGGATTATCCCAATACTTGAAGACGCTGTCCACCTTCTAAGCACCAGTCCTGTGCCAAGCCCCATCTCATTTAATGATGTCAAGCTCACAGTAAGCCTTTGATCGAGGCAGTGTCACCCGCATTTTACAAATGGGAGAACCAAGACTCAGAGAACTGGCCACAGTCACATATCTACGAGAGTCTTTTCCCACAGTGAAGGGAACACTCCCCACACCCTCTGAAGCCTGGAGATCCAACAAAACACCATTGAGCTAGACTGCCTCTTCGTCTTCCAGGAACCAGGCCACCATGTACAGTTGGGCAGGTTGAGCACTGCACAGGCACAAACTATAGGAAAAGTGGCATGCACTCTGGATGACAGCGCCTCTGCCTGGAGGAAGGGGAGGGTAGCTTTCTCTGATTTGTAAGAGCTAAGTGGCAGCCCCATCAATAGCTTGTCCCCTGTTTCACCTGACGGGGTACCAGTGGTGGCCAACTGCGGCTGCTGCCATGACAGCTGAATCCTGCTAAGAGCCCAGCGAGCAGGAATCTGTTTAGCAAGGGCGACCGTTGGCTTTATTTACACTCCAGCGAGGAAGGATGAGTGTTTGTTAGTTTTCGGGAAGTGCTGGTTTGTTTGCGCAGAACTGTGCTGCCCCAGCTTGGGGGCGTGGCCATGAACATGGCTTTGATGCGGACAGAACAGACGCCGGAGCCTTTTCAATAGCAGATAACGAGCCCCTGACTGATGGGTCTGCTCATCCCCAGTGCCCAGCCCCAGGCTATTGCTGCTCTTCCATTTCCCAGGTCCCACTTGCAGGCCGCTCACACTGGGGAGGTTGGAGATTCATGTGGTTCATGAGGCTGCCGAGAGCCTGGGCCACCATGGCTGCTGTTTACTGAGCACCTACTGTGTACCAGCTACTGTCTAAGCTCTTCAGACTGAATTATCTCATCTAACCCTCACAACAGTCCAATGGCATAGGTGGTTATTATTACCATTTTACAAATGGAGCCACTTGGCACAGAGAGGTTGGGTAGCTCAGCCAGAGTCACACAGCTAGACAGTGCAGAGCTGGGATTCAGATCTAGGAAATCTGGGTCCCACGCCTTCACTCTTAATCTCAGCTTCTCAACATACACTGCAAATACCTCACTCGCATTATGCATTTAATCCTGTAAGGTTTATTAGCTCCACTTTACAGGTGAGGAAAATGAGGCTCAGAGAGGTGGAGAGCCTTGTTCAGTGTCACACAGCGAGGCCATGATAATCCAGGATGGAACCCCGGGTCTGTCTGATTCCTAACCTATGTACAATACTGCCTTCAGCCTCTGCTTTGATTTATGGAGGTTAAGGACCAAATAAACTTCCTTTTTAGTGCCAAAAACAATCATCTTTACCTCGGAGTTGGCCTCCCACGCAGTATTTGAATGGAGAATTCAAAAACTGACAGGCCAGTTTCTTTCTCCCTTCCAACATTTTAGTATGAAAAAATATCAAACCTTCAGGAAAAAAAAATGAAAAGAATTACACGGTGAACACGCTATACTTTTCCCATAGATTTTACATTTGTCAACATTTTATTCTGTTTACCGTACATCTTTCCATTTCTCCATCTGTCAATTTTTATCTTTGGGTGCATTTCGAAGTAAGTTTCAAACATCTTTCCACGTCAGTCTGCATATCACTAATTATAATTCAATATTTCTTAATGATTTTTTGAAGTAGTATTTACACAGAGTGAAATGCACACATTTTAAGTGTGCTGTTTGATGCAATTGGGTCCTATCAAATCCACACCCCTGTCACAGTATCAAACATCACGATACTCTAGGAAGTTTTGCATCTAGGTTCCTTTTTGCAATGTGTTCTCATGGAAACTATCCCCAGACACTTGCTTGGCTTCAACAAAGATGCTTTTTGGTTTATTTTTCCCAAGTCTGCTCTCCTCTGGCCAGACAGATTGAAAGTGGCATGGCAGGGGAAGAGAGCTGCATCTCTTGGCTAGTAGCATCAATACTTAGAGCTCACAGCATGTGAGCCCTGTGTTAACACTCAACACGCATCCTCTCTATAACCCTCCTGACAACCCCAGGGCATCATCACTGCCAGCAGTCCCATTTTACAGGTGAGGAAACTGAGATTGATTCAGATCCATCATTTTTCTGAGGTTACCCAGCAAGTAGGTGGCAGATTTGGAGTTTAAATGTAAGACTTCAAACTTTTCCCTTGAAGAGCTGTTTGAGAAAGCAGTGCAGCTCATGGTGAGACTTCAAGAATGGCAGCTAATGCAGAATGGGAAAGACCAGGTACAATCTTGGAAGGAATTATAAGGGCCGAATGAGGGGTGGGATCAGATGCTGCAGAGTAAACAAGGAGGGAGGGAGAGAGGAAGAAAGGAAAGAAGGAAGGGAGGGAGGGAGGAAGGTTCAGTTCAGCTGAGAGCCGGAACAGTTTCCCTGACAAAGCCAGGTAGGAGGCAGTGAAGGTGGAAGGACCAGCACACCTGAAGCTGCCAGATCAGGAAAGGGCAGAGCACGGATGAGGCAGTGAAAGGACCAGGTGGCCGGCAGGTGGGGGATTTGGAGAGGAGAGTGGGTGGGTGGCATGAGCCTGGGAGGATGCAAGAACCAGGTCATGCAGGGCTAGAGGGTCAAGGTAAGAACCTTGGACTGGATCCCATTTGTGGAGAGGAGATGCATCCTCCCAGCTGAGTTTTATTGAATCCCTACCATGTACTCATCCCTTTTCATGTCTTATCACATACAACCCTTTTCCCATTTGCAGGTAAGGAGACTGAGGCCCAGGAAGCACTGGGTCACCCGCCCAGGATGGGACTCACACGCCGGTCCCTTCTGGACAGTCTCCATCTGCCCCTGCCACTGACCCTGTCTGTTCCCTGCCCTTTTCAGACAACCGCTGCATGGACAGAAGGTTCCTCCCAGCCAAGTCCAAGCAGCTCATCGCTCTAGCCAGCTTTCCAGGCGCCGGGAACACATGGGCGCGCCACCTCATCGAGCTGGCCACCGGCTTCTACACTGGCAGCTACTACTTCGATGGTTCTCTCTACAACAAAGGTAAGGAGGAGCTCCGAGAGGACCCCCTGGGAGGGCATGGGAATCCCCCTTCCTGAGCACCTACTATGTGCCACCTAGCTCATGGCTAGGCATGTCTATTGAGACCTACTATGTGCTTAGTACCTTTCCTTGACTTACATCCCACAAACATTTCCTGAGTATCATGTCCTGGGTGCCTCACCAGGACCCGTCCAATAATAAGCATTTATCAAGCACCTGCTATGTGCCGGGAGCCTTTAAAGTCTTAATGTGCAGGGTGCACTTGAAACCATTTCCATGAGAATCTTGGGAGTGGGTCAGGGCATGGGTATTTTCTAAAAGCTCCCCAGGTGATTCCAATGCAAAGTCAGCGTGAGACCCCTGGCCCTAGACCAGGAACCCAGCAGTCTCACTTCCAGACCCACAACATTCAAAAAATTGGTCTTTGTTTTTTTGTACTCGAGTGTTGGGGAATCTCAAGAGTTGATACTTAATGGGGTGAGGTGTCTACTAGAAGGAAGGAAGGGAGGAAGGAAGGAAGGAAGGAAAGAAAGTAAGAAAAAAAGAAGGAAAAGAAAGAAAGAAAGAAAGAAAGAAAGAAAGAAAGAAAGAAAGAAAGAAAGAAAGAAAGAAAGAAAGAAAGAAAGAAAGAAAGAAAGAAAGAGAAAGAAAGAAAGAAAGAAAGAAAGAAAGAAAGAAAGAAAGAAAGAGAGAGAGGAAGGGAGGGAGGGAGGGAGGAAGGGAGGAGGAAAGGGAGGAAGGAGGAGGAAAGAGGAAGGAAGGAGGAAAGAAAGAAAAGGAAGAAAGGAAAGAAAAGGAAGCGAGAGAAAGAAAGAAAACAAACAGAGCCCCACCCTGGCAGTTCCTCTGGCTCACGCTGTGTGCATGTTTCCATAAGTCCTACTGAGAAAAGCGGGGGTCTGTGAGCAGGTCTCAGGCAGCTAAAGCTTTCAGTGCAGCTTCTCTTTCATTAGAGACTTAAAAATAAATCCTGCAGCCTGAGCCCTTGCCGGGAACAATGAGCTCTCCCTGAGAGTTCAGGGCTGGCAGTGGGGCGCAGGCAGAGAGGACCCACGCCCCTCAATAGTATCCATCAATCCGGCGAACCCCCAAGCCCCTCCCTCCATCCCCTCTGCAGCCGAGACACTTAATGAACTCGTCAAACCCTGGTGGGTCCTGAGCATGGGGGGAGGGGAGGGGAGCATGGTGCCGGGGGGGAGGGGAACTGCTGTGCCTCTATCTGCCCCCACTGGGGCGCACGTCTGCTGCCCCTTTCATACCTCAGACTCCAGGTTTAATGAGCTCTTTGCAGTTCAGAAACACCTCAGTCCCTGCTCCGTAACTTGGGCAAGTTACTTGATCTCTCTGGGACTCAGTTTCCTCATCTATAAAATAAAACCCTCATAGGATTATTGAAAGGACCGATCAGCTCAAGACTGCAGGTTGGACCCACATCTGTTCCATGTGTCTCTCGTCACTGGGGACCAGCAGCCTTCCGGAACATGTCCTTCTCACAGGGGTGGCAGAGACGCACAAGAGTGAACAGCAACTTGGGGTGCACCTTGGGACTTTGGCAGAGACCCATTTTTGCCCTCGATCCACCGGCCATAGCAAGTCAGGTGGCCCAACATTAATTGGGTGGGGCTGCAGGATCCCCCAAAAAGGAACCCTCCAGTGCATCACTGTCAGGCCCTCTTCATGGCACCTCAGCCTGAATACTCCCCTTCCATAGCATTAACCACGGCAGTGATTTTTATATTCATTTGCATCACTCTTTGAAAAACCTGACTCTCAAAAACAGACCCATGGATGTTTTTGCAAACCATTTTATACCCAGCTCCAAGCACAGTGCCTGACACATAGGAGGTGCTTAGTAAATATGTGCGTGAATGAGTGAACGAACGAACGTATGAGGATTCGCGAGGTGGCCCGGGAGGGGGGTTGGTGGACCTCTTGTCTTCCCCGGCTCACTGCCACGTTCCCTGCCCACCCTGGTTGTGGGAAGGGTTTAAAGGTGAGCGAGACCACTGGCGCAGCGGGAGGACCATCTGCATCAAGACACACGAGAGTGGCCAGAAGGAGATCGAGGCCTTCGACGCGGCCATCCTGCTCATCCGAAACCCCTACAAGGCCCTCATGGCGGAGTTCAACCGCAAGTACGGCGGACACATCGGCTTTGCTGGTCATGCCCACTGGAAGGGCGAAGGTACAGCCTGGGAGTTGCGGGCAGGGCTCCGGGGTGCAGGGGGCAGTGCGAGGGGCCCGTGCTGTCTCCTGCTGGGAATCCAGGTCCTGCTTATAGCTGAGGAGGTGTGCGTCGCACATGTCGCCACACCCACCAGCATCACCCGGTGTGAGCCAGGCTGTTGTCACGGCACGGTGGTTAAGGGCAAGGGCTCTGGAGCAAGGCTCCCTGGGTTCACATCCCAGCTCCACCACTTACTGGAAAAGCTCCTTCACCTCCCTGAACTTAAACTGTCCTGTCTATAAAGTGGCGGGAATAAAATCTAAGAACTTAAGAATTTAACCCTTTAAAAACTCTCAGTAAACAGGGTTCGTTATGAAAACCCTCCGTCTGTAATTGACATGGGAAATCAGGTTCAAGATCCCTTTCCTGGGAATCAGGAGACCCGAGTCCAGCCCAAGGTCAGTGGCTGAGCCGCCATGAGGTTACCTATGAGCTCCTAAGGGCTCAGGTATAGAGCTTCATTTCAAGCACTAAACTTCATTAAGATGATCCGAGTTTGATGTTCATCTCTGGTGCTTAGTAGATGACATCTGGAAGAAGGTCTCAGTGCAGAGAGCAGCAGCCCATGGTAGCGGGGAGAGATTTGACATCAGACCCAACTTCTGCCATCTTGAGTATCTTTAACCCCCTCAAAGTCCCACATCAGTTAGCACCCATATCTCCGTTACCGTAATGAGAGTCACATCCCTGAGTGTTTTTAAACCCCCACAATTAACCCTCTTTTATGGATGGGGCAAGCTAAGTTCAGGGAGGTGAAGGCACTTTTCCAGGAAGTGGGGGGGCAGGGGTTCGAACCCAGGGAGTCTTGCTCCTGAGCCCACGCCCTTAACCACTGTAGGACAATGAATTAGACAAAATGCCAGTGCCTACAAATCTCCCAGCTCAGAGCCCCTGACACCCAGTAGGTGCTCTGTAAACGTGAGCTCTCTCTACCTCATCCAACCTGCTGCAGTCAGGTGGCTGCAGCCTCAAGCCCCAGGGGTGTTTCCCACTCCTCCAAACCCTCCCCCTGACTCCCAGCTTCTCCAGCCCCTCTCCAGAGAGAACCAGAGCTCAGCAGGATGACATTAATTCAGCCATCCACCAGCCGCACCCTCAACACCAGTGTCATTGATTAAAACCCTTGAGCCTGCCTGACCAGCTGTGCCCTGGGTTCCCAGTTTGCTCAAGGGCCCTGTCAGTCCCTCACGCTGCATTGCCCCTTCTCTCAGTAAGGGAGTGGCAGCTTGGACAGGTGGTGACGTTTGTTCTTTTGTTCTTGGGGATAAAGAGGCCTCTGAATTATTTATTTGTAGAACAATAAAAAATCAAAGCCATTATTGAAAAGATACATGCACCCCAATATTCATAGCAGCACTATTTACAATAGCCAAGACATAGAAACAACCTAAATGTCCATCAACAGATGAATCAGTAAAGAAATTATGGTATATATATACAATGGACTACTACTCAGCCATAAAAAAGAATGAAATAATGCCATTTGCAGCAACATGGATGGACCCAGAGATGATCATATTAAGTGAAGTAAGTCAAACAGAGAAAGGCAAATATCATACAATATCACTTATATGTGGAGTCTAAAATAAAATGATTCAAATGGTATTTACAAATCAAAAACAGACTCATGGACATAGAAAACAAACTATGATATAGCTGAATCACTTTGCTGTACCTGAAAATAACATTGTAAATCAACTATACATCGATAAAAAAAAATTGTTTTTTAGTGAATGCTATTAAGGGCCAGGCGGCAAAATCTGCAGGTGCAAATGGCAGGATCCTGTTCTGGGAGCAGAAGCTCTGCTTGTTGAACCAGAAAGGACCTGGGAGATCATGGAACCCAGTGGTCCTCAGCCCTGGCAGCTCATCAGAGTCCCAGGAGGAATATGGGAAAATCCCAGTGCCTGGGCTGCACCCCGGACCATTACTGGAGTGAAGTCTGGGCATCAAAACGTTTTTAAGCAGTGTGCAGGCAGGACTGAGAACCACTGATTCATTCTCTGTTTATTACTGGGGAAACTGAGGCCCAAAGAGAGGCAGGGATCTGCCGAGGTCACTCGGGCACATAATGGCAGGACTAGAACCCCGGCTCCACCTCTAGGCATCCTACTACCCCAAGTAACAAGGGAAGGAACTCACTTGGGAAGCACATATGGGACCAGGCGCTTAGCATTCATCGTCTCATTTAAATCTTCTAATTACCTAAGGAGGTGAGAAAGGCTGCCGTAATCACTGGTAGCATGTCGTTTCACAGGTGAGGAAACCATCGCAGGAAGGGAGCAAGTCACGTGGCCAAGGCCCCAGGGGTTGGCTGAGCTGAGATTCCAACCCGGGCAAGAGCTACCAGGCTCTTTCTTACCTTGGGATGTTGCTGATCTTCCGGTGCCTTCAGAGGTTCCCCTCTCCTGGCATCACCCCTTGTTTCAGGTTCAGACAAGTTCCTAATTCCCAGGGGTCAACTTGCCTCTTCTTCCTTATTCAAGACAGCTAGGATGATGGGAGGGGTCAGGAGGCGGCAGGGGATGGGAAAGAGATTTCAGGACATCCATCTCGGTACTGGGGGTCTGGGGTCTCCTCATTAGGCTGGGGTGGGAGGAGGAGCCTTCTCCTGGGGCCCCTTCCCAGGCCTGAGCCAAGTCTTCACGTGCTCTGCCTGAGCGCCTCCCCCAAAGAACCCAATCCCCGGAGACGCCCTCCCAACCCCTTCCTCTCATTTGCCTTGACGTCTGGATCCTAAATGCACTTGAGTTTGAGACCCTTGCTTTAGGGGCCCTGCTCCAGCTGCGTGAGTATTACCTGGGAATTAATTAGAAATGCAGGTTCTCAGGCCCCGGGCCAGGCTTCCTGGGTCAGAATCTGCATTGTAACCCAACATTCTCAAGAAGCTGTGTGTGCCCTTTAAGGCTTGAGAATCTCGGCTTTACGATGCTCTCGGTCTAGATTGTGAGGGTCCCCCCCACCTAAGAGCAGAGGTCATCCCCCAGCTAAGCATGTCCACCCCACCCTGCCTGGGTCCCCCTCCCAGTTACAGCTGGCTCAAGGCTCCTCCTGCAACCCCCCCTTACCCCCCACCCACCCCACCCCTGGCTTTTGGTTCCATAAAGTTAATTTTACGATCTCCCTGGATTGGATCCAAAGCAAAGTTTTATGTGATATGATTACACAAGGTGAATTGTCCTGGATCTGTTTAATGAAACGGAGACTGTGTTTAATGATTCCTTGGGGAATTAAATACAGTTAAGCTATTAATCAGGTCCCCGTTCCTCCCGTTGCCAAGAAGATGAAGCGGAGAATGGCCAGCCCATGTCCTGCCAGATTCATGTGTGTGACAGTTCTGGTGGAACCAGCCCTCATTACAAGTGGTCCATGGCTTAGTGTACCTTTATTACCCAATTTGAAGGCAGCCATCAATTACTGGGAATCCTGGGCTAATTGAGCATTTTTGGTTTTCATTTTTGTTCTTTCCAATGAAGTCATTTCGGAGCTTCAAAGGAGGCATCTTTGCTCTCGGAGGGGGTTGGGGAGGGGGCAGATACCTGCTGCTGCAAAATGATGGGGCACGTGGGGTGTCTCAGATGTTGGGGACCAACACCAAGCAGAATCCTAACAGTAGCCAACATTTATTGAGCACTTCACGTGTCCCAGGCCCGGTGCCAGGGTCTGTAGTTCTTACTCTATTGTATCTGCATAGCCTGAGGTCTTAGCACAGTTGCCATGGTGCAGATGGGTAAACTGAGACTCAGGGAGATCACCTGACATCCCCAAGGTCACACAGCTCCTATGGAGAAGAGCTGGGTTTTGAACCCTGGCAGTGTGACTCCAAAGTCATCTGTGAACAGACCCTACGTCTTAGACAACATCTGAAAGTGAAGTGAGTGATGCTGGACCAGGATCTGGATCGAGACGTGTTGGAGCTGATCAAATCAAGTGCTCTTAAAGGGTTTGCCGGGAGGGCGGGAGCCAGGCTCAGTATGGGATAGACATAGGTGGGAATCCCACCCTGGGAGCCCACTGTGTGGCCCTGGGCAAGTGGCTTCACGTCTCTGAGCCTCCTTTGTTCCTGTGTGTAAAATGGGGCCAGTCATTTCTACTCTCTGAGATAATGCATGCCGAGTGCCCGGCACAGCCCTGACACACAGTAGGTGCTCGGAACATTCCCATCCCGGGGAGGTTTTGCAATCAACAAAGGTGCCATGTCATCTCCATCCCACCTGCATCCAAGGCCAGGGACACCATCCGGGGGACCCAGACCATCATGCAGACAGACCTTTCCTTTTTCTTGAAGACCACCCTCCAGGAACCTCATGAGATGGTCAGAAGTGGCCAAGCCTGTCAATCCGGATCTGTGTGTTCCTGGGTGACCGAGTGCCACCTGAGCCTCTGCTGTGTTGTCCTGAATCACCAGGGATACTGTGAGGTGACTCAGGAGTGGGGAAATTCTAAGGAAACGTTTTTTAAAAAGTGAAACTGGCTACACACATGCTAGATTTTTTCTAATCACTCAGACACATCTGGTCTTAACCCATTATAACAGTACGGGCCCAATTAGCTAGATACATTGTAAATAATCTATTTTAAGGGTAAAAAATATCTTTGTCATCGGCATAAATATCTCCCAAGCAGCTATGGTGTTCCGGGGGGCACTGGAGGAGCAGGAGCCTCGCCATGGATTCTGATGTGCTCTGCGAAGAGAGAGGAGCCCTTTGTCACAACGCAACTTGGCAGTTGGAAATTTCAATTTAGTTCAACAACCATTTATTGAGCCCCTGCTGGGCGTAAGGCAGTGGGAGGGAGTCGGGGTGAGGCTGCTGGTGCCTGGGAAAGATCAGAGCCTGGAATCAGGCGGGCCTGGTCTAGATGATGCTTCCCAGCTGTGTGACCTTGGGCAAGTCACTTCACCTCTCTGAGCCTCAGTTGCCTCACTAGTGACAAATGAACAGTAGTCTTTTCCTTTCAGGGTAGTCCTTAGGATTCAATGAGATAATGGGTATCCATCACCCAGTGATGGATGAAGATTCAGTTATTAAGAACCATCTGGGCTTCTCAACCCAGCCTGGGAGACTCACTGACCCTCGTTCAGTAAATAAACCCCTCCTGAGGATGCGGGGTGGTGCTGCCCCTGTGAGAAGCAGTGGTATGGCTTCAGGGTTTCAGGGTGCCAGCCCTGTGGTCCTCCGGCTGGGGCTCAGAATGGAGGCTGCAAATCCCTTTCTCCGTTCCTAACATCCCCCAGGACCCCCCTCTGCTTCTCCTTTATCAGATTTCAACAGCTCCCTGGCCAGGCTGGCTGTCACTTTGAGGTCTTCTCCAGGGCTCCTTGGTGAATTTCCCACATTCTGTGGTAGCCTGTCTTTCAAGTCAAGAGATCCCAAACACACTCTCCCAGTCTCAGTGACAATCCTGTCACTTTCCCATGGCAAGGTACCAAAGAGCAAAGAGGAACAGTATGTGATACTCCAACAAAACGCCAAGAGAGAAAGCTAGACTAGAAAGATGTAACGTTGACAATGTAAATAACCCAGCTTAAACTATGCCCTCAGCCCACACTCTCTTGGGGGGACAGACAACATGTGTTAGGGGTGCAGAGGGGCTATGAAGCCCAGAGGAGGCACCTGTCTGAGCTTGGGAGTCAGGGAAGACAGTATCTCACCTGAGAACAGAAAAATCACAATAATAAGAACAGCCAACATTTACTGAGCACCTACTGGGTGCAGAGCACCACACTAGAAACTGTATCTACTTTTTCCACTTCTCTGTACAAAGGCCCTATTGTTGTCCTGTGAGAAGATACTGTTACTACACAAAATAACTATTCCTACACAGGCTGACTGGGTAGTTAAAAGCCCAGACTTTGAAGCCAGACTCTTTGGTTTTAAACCCGGTTTTGCCACTTATTAGCTGTGTGACCTTCAGCAAGTTACTTAACCTCTCTGTGCCTCAGTTCCCCCTTCTGGTAAATGAAGAAGATGATGATGCCTGCCTCACAGGGCTCTTGTGAGGAATAAGTGAATTAATAGCTATATTAATATATCACATTACATATTAAGATCAATATATATTAAAATATAAAAATAAGAGTAACAAAGATTTATATATAAGTCTGTGCCTGGCATGTAATAAGCACCAGACAAATGTTATTGCTGTCCCCAAAGAGAGGGAAGAGCTAACAACATGCCAGGCGGGAGCAGCAGCCCTGAGGAGGGAGGGAGCAGGTGAGTTTGGCTGTCCGAGGAGTTAACGGGGCGGCTATCGCTGTGAACGACAACTACCGCCCCTGCCAGCGCCCTCTGACCTGCTTCCTCCCTCTGATCCGGCCCTGCCTCCTCTCCCCGCAGAGTGGCCTGAGTTTGTGAGGAACTATGCCCCGTGGTGGGCCACTCACACGCTGGACTGGCTCAAGTTCGGCAAGAAGGTGCTGGTGGTGCACTTCGAGGACCTGAAGCAGGACCTCTTCGTCCAGCTGGGCCGGATGGTCAGCCTGCTGGGCGTGGCCGTCAGGGAGGACCGGCTGCTGTGCGTGGAGAGCCAGAAGGACGGCAACTTCAAGCGCTCGGGGCTCCGGAAGCTGGAGTACGACCCCTACACGGCGGACATGCAGAAGACCATCTCTGCCTACATCAAGATGGTGGACGCGGCCCTCAGAGGGAGGAACCTCACGGGCGTTCCGGATGCCTACTACCCTAGATGATGGGCCAGAGGTGGGGGGTGGCTGGGAGCCCAGGCCAAGCAGGCCCTGGGGACCCCGGAGCCCTGGGGACCCCCACCCTTCAGTCCTCTCTGGTTTGGGGACAACCCCCTTGGCTGCTGTTGGCCCTCAATGAGTTTCCTGCGTGACAAAGGAGGTTCAAGGGAAGAGATTGTGCGGGCACTTCCCACCTACTCATGTACACCTCCCCCTTGGAGATGGAGCGGGCAACTGGTCCCCAGCCACATGGACCCTTCTCTGTCTCCTGTGTCCCTGCCCCCAACCACTCTGGCTCCACTTGTGGGAGGACGGGCTCATGGCTGTCCTGGAGACGTGGGTGTCCCATCGCAGGTATTGAGGACCCTGGCCCAGGAGCTGACGGGAATGATGTAGAAAAAGTGGCCCCAGACTCTCTTCCCTCCTGGACTGAGTGTTTATAGCTTCCCCTCCTCCCGACCCGGGAAGCACTGGCACCAAGGTTCATCCGGGCCACTTCTGCCTGAAGAAGGACTGCCGGATGTTTCTCTGTGGCCTTAGGCTTCTGACATTCTGGGGGAGCGTGGGGAGGCAATGGTGCTCAGTGTAGGATAACTGGCACCACCACGTGGGGTCACTGGCATTCCCAAGTCCACCCCCAGGTCACACTGCTCCTGAGAAGCAATCTGATTGCCTGTCCAGTCCTGTCTGGAGCTGGCACTCTGCCCTTGTCCACCCCCGCCATGTCCGGGAGGTGACCCACTCCCAGGGCTCCTCAAGCATCAGCACGGATCTCACTGGGATGACCACCTGGCACGTGCAGGACCTGAGAGCCCCGGTAACACACCTCTCCATCGTGGGGTCCAACACATTGATCTGACACTGCCCTTCTGATCCCTACCCATGGGTCCTTTGCTATCCAGCAGAGAGAGCAAGAGTGCTCCAAATCAGGTGGAACCGTGACCAAAAGACACCCCCCTACCTTCCCAGGCCATCGACCTCCCTTTGATGGTAGTCCAATGGGGCCGGCTTCCCTTGGGGGTCCTTTAAGGAATGGGGTGAACACAATTGTTCCTCATGTCCATACAAACGCTGCTTTTTTGAGGCTGAGACATCAAACCAAAGGATTCCCAAGGACCTGAGTCAGAGATCATTTATCTTTGGAAGCATTGATCCAGGATCCCACGTCTCCCCCCACAACCTTGGGTACCAGTGTTTTCACATCAGGCTCACACCTGCACACCTGCTCCATCCCCCACCTTGTAGATGCAAAAGCCATAGGTCACAGCTCTTTGCTATTCTGTCTGGAGCAGCCCTCCCCCAAGCAGCCACCCCCTGAGGCTTTGGGGTGCAGGTAAATGCTCGTTCCCAAATAGCCAAGAGACTATGGAGAAGGAGAGTGTAAAGAGATCTATTTTTTTAAGAGGAATATGACTAATACATTCCACCCCCTCAGAACCTGGTCATGCAAGGAGAAGGGCCTAGGGATTGGACCCAGGTTCCCTCATCTGTAGGATCTGGGCCTCCCCAGGGCCCAGTCAGGGGGCTCTGAATGTATTTTGTACTGTGTTCCTTTCCCCCAGGCAAATTTCTAGTCTTTCACAAAACAGTAGAGGGCTTGGCCTCCCCTCCCTCTTAGGGGTCAGCTCTCTCTGGGAGACTCTTGGTCCAAGACCTCGGCCAGTTCTTTGCTGGTGTTCACCTCAGGTCACCAGCCTTTGTCTGAAGATTCCTCAGGTCAACACCATCATTAAAAGCAAGTTTTGTTGAAAAGCAGGTTTTGTGGCTAATTCTACCCCGTTGTAGAATGTTGTGTAAGGCGGGGTCACAAATGAGCTATTTTTCTGGTGTGCGTGTGTTTGTATGCGACAGAGAATGTTCTGGGTGCATAATTGCTTTGGGTCAGTGTGACTCCAATTGCCTATGAAGAATTGTGTGTCTTGGTGCAAAAAATCGTCTGCCTTTGTGTTCAGCTGCTCCTCTGTCGTGAGACTGCACCCCCCAAGTTGGCGTGATGACTGCCCCATGTCCAACGTGTCTGTGTGGGTTCCTGTGTGTGGAACTGTGCGTGCAGAGGAGGAAGTGGCCAGTGTGTGCGAACCCCCGCATGAGAAGGCGCCTGACTATTACGGAAGGATGGACGTCTTTGACCTTGGTAATTACGTGTGCGTATGTGTGCACGTGTGTGTGTATGAGGGAGACTCTGGATGTGTGGTGCTATGCACGTGATGTGCATAAGGGGAGCTGGTGAGGATACCAGGGGAGAGAAGGATGGGAGGCAAAGGAGTTGTCAGGGGCAAGATCCTTCAGGGACCCATCTCCTCCAAGAGATCTTCTTCCCTTCTTCCTCCTCTCTTGCATTGGTTTGTTTTTCTCTCCATTCTGCCCAATCCCTTCTCACTGTTTTTTCTTTATACTGCCTCCTGCTCTCAATTTCCCTCTTTGTGGTCTCTTTTATTTCCTCCAGCTGCTCATTAAACCTCTTTGCTTTCTTGTCTTTCTCCTCTCTCTCTCCCTCTCCACCATCCCTGAATCTCTCTCTCTCATTTCATCATTGTCTCTTGATTTCTGCTTCTCTTTGTGCAGGCATCTCTCTATCTCTGTCTCTTAATCTCTTGTCTCTCTGCCTGTCTCTTGCTCCCCCACTCCCTTCCTCTCCACCCCCATTGTCCTCTCCCCTCTCCTCATCTTCCTGGAGAGTGGGGGCGACTCAGTGGGATCCAGACACAGTGAGACAAATGCTACCCAAGCCAGTAACCAAGGAAGTGGTTTCCTTAGCAACAGAATCCTCAGGCACGCGCTCCACTGCCCCATCCCTTAGCTGTTACAGTAAGTACCGAGAGGGTGGTTGGCAAAGCCTGGAGACAGGGGAGTCGGTAAAGACACTGCTATAGTGATCCTCTTGAGAGGGGACAGTGATCAGGGACCAGCTCCATGCCTGGCACTTTGGTGACACTCAAAAATATGGGACATAGAGAGGCTGCGGGGTCAGAGACAGGCATACAGAGTGGAGACAGCTGGGGAGGAACCCACAGACTTGGTAACAGACTGGATGTGGGGAGGGAGAGGGGGAAGGAAGGCGAAGAGACATCAAGATTGTGTCTGCGCATCTCCAAAAGGGGTCCTTTGACTGAGATGGAGAACATGGGGCAGAGGAGCAGGGGAGGGAGGGAGAAAATGATAAACTGACATAGCTCCCTGTCCCCAAGAGTTCACCACCTACACTGGGGGAGGAGACGTGGAAGCAGACACAGAACTGTCTCACTCAATGCTCCCTATTAACTGGCGACCAGGAACCCGGGAGTAAAATCACATCCTGGAGGGTGGTGGGAGGCTCCGAGACGGTCAGTGATTTGATTGCATGGCTCGGAAGTTGGAGGCGACACTTGGATTCGAACCTGGAAACGATCCAGAGCCTGTCTGGAAGATGGAAGACAAAAGAGCGTAGAGACAGAGAGAGAGGCAGAGAAAGAGACCGAGAGAGAGAGAGGAAAAACAGAGGAAGAGAGATTTAAATCATGGATTTGGCACTTTTTTCCTACTGAGAAAACAAAAATGTGTTCAATTTTAGAGAAATGAGAAAGGGGGAGGGAGGAAACAAAAGCGCCCTCTAGGATGTTATAAATAACTGTCCCCAAAGAAGATGCCCATCATGATGCAATCACTCCCAGGGAGACGAATTGTGTCCCCCGTCTAGGTTGGTATTTAAATGACTCGGAGCGGGTGATGGGGGCGAAGGGCAGGAAGTTGATCAACACGGAAATCTCGCTTGGCTTTCCCCCAAATGCAGTAAAGCGTGCAGGCGAGGAGAGCTGTAAATCTGGGCGATGATAATATCCGACCCCGCGAAAGCAACATGTTTATTTATCATGTTTGCACGTTTACTGTTTCCCCTCAAATTTACAGTCTGCAATCTGCCGGCACGCAGGGGGACAAACATGGAAATGAGAGCAAACTGGCAGAACGTCAAGGAGGGAAGAAATGATGAAATATTTATCCCCTCCGTCCACACCCTCCCACCCCACCCCTCCACACACACACACACACGCACACACGCACACATGCACGCACACACACCGGCTGCCTTAAATCTACTTTCAAACAAAGGTGGTGATTTACTCGAGAGGACCATACGGCTCTATTTCAGGCCTCTGACAGCTAATTGAAATGAACAGTCATTATAGAATGGAATGTGCCACAACAAAATGATTTCTGTGTCTTCTGGAGTCACTTACTAAACAATGACAGGAAAACGAACTGTCCGCCAGAAGCGAGAGAGGGGGTCGATCTTAGTGGGGGCAAGACTTGTGTGTGTCCTGCTGTCAGGGACGAGAGGGACAGGGAGGCAATTTAGGGGCCAGATTCTCTTCCAAGACCTGAGTTAGGTGCCCAGACCATAATCATGGTCACCTTATCCCAGACCTTCTGAATCAGATTTCCCAAAAGATAGAGCCCAGACGTGGGTGAGAAGGACCTGGTGGGCTCGCCGGGTGGCAAAGCTGTATTTATTTTTGCCTTGTTGATAATTACCAGCCCTAATCTAGGTGCTGCAAGGACAGAATGGTTCAAAGGATCATCGTCCTCATACATACGTACAAGTCTCTTCGTGTATTATGACCTGCGTATCTCTGCACAGTGCCTGACACACAGCAGGTGCAACGGAAATCCTTGTTGATTTTCTGAATAAGTGAACCGAGGAATATTAAAGGATATTCAGAGGGAAAAAAAAAACCCATCAGCCAAAGCAGGCCTGAGTTATTCCCTTCGGTGCCCTGAATTTTCTCTCCAGCAATACTGAATTGTTTTTCCATCCTTCCACTCTCTGTCTGAACCCCCAAAGCCCATCATACTGGCTCTCAAGAGCCCATTGTGAACATCTCTCCTCAAATTCACACTCAGGGACATCACATCGGTAGCTTGAAACTGACCATGGTGAGGATATTTACACCACGGTAACTGGCAACGGCTACAAATCAGGCGAGTGGTTGGGTTTGTTTGTTTTGTTTTGTTTTGTTTTATCTCGAGAGAGAGCCAGATGTTAAGCATTTACCAACACACCACTGCCCAACGCACACGGGCACACACATGCTATTTCTGGTGTTTCCCATGGCCTTATTCGTACTGTCCCCTCCACCTGGAAAGCCTCCTTCAGACTCAGCTCAGACTCTTCCTCTTCCAGGCACCTCCCCTGACCACAAAGAACAAATTCAGCTCCTCCTCTAATCTCGTCAAGCACAGCTCTGGACGTGGCCAACGTTGTGATCTCTTCAGTAGTCTGGTGCGTGTGACTCCCTCTTACCAGGGCTCGAGGTTTGTTAGGGCAGAAACCATTTACCTCTGGATTTCCACACGCTTCCTGGCCCAGACTAGGTGATGAGCAAGTGTTGACCCAACGGAAGAATGACCACAACAATTACACTTAATACCATCCACCAGCCTCACAACAATCACACACTTTGGGGTGAATGGATCCACCCGCTCAGATAATGGCCAAGAAGGCAGAGGAATGAGAAGCTACTCACAGAGCTGATGGTAGCTAATATTTATTGAGCACTAATTAAATGCAGGGCATTGTGCCAGGTGCTTCACATGTGTAACGTCGTCAAATCGTCACCAGAACTCTGGAAGACAGGGATCCTTAGTCTCCCCATTTTACAGTGAGGGAAACCAAGGTTCAGAGAGGTTAAGTAATTTGCCTAATGTCACACAGCTGGGAACTGATGGAACTGGGCTTTGAATTCAGGCAGTCTAGCTTCAGGGTCCATGTACTTAACCACGATGCTGCATCCTAGGGCGAAAACAAGGCCAGAGCCGAGAAGGGAGGGGTGGGTCTGGCAAGGCAACCCAGAGAAGATTACTGCAGCAGGAGGTGGAGAGAAGAAAACAAGTTGTGCAAAGGATTGGCCTTTCTGGGGCTGATGACCCATGGGGTGAAGAGGAGGGAACCATAAGGCCACCACTCGTGAAGCAGGCTGGGAGCTGCTGCTCCAGACAACTTTGGGTTCTTAGCGGCAAGGTTGGTTTATAGGTTCCCATGGCAATGACCAAGTGATACGCTTACTCCACAGCTCAGTGATTCTCTAGAAAATCTTTCCTCCTCTCTCTCACTACCACTCCTCCCAGGCAATCGTGGCAAGGTGACAGCTCCTTCCCCAGGACACACTGTGCTGAAGAAGACAAAATGGCCCAAGACCCTTTCATAATGATGATGGAGAAAGGAAATTTGAGTGGAGGGCAGAAGAAAAGAGAAAGAGGGGCTTAAAACCTCACAGGTTGCAATCATCAAACTGGGAAGGGACTGATGAAGGAGGATTCTCAAGTCAGTTTAAAAATCTCATGAAAACCATGACTCTCTCCCCAGAAAAATGTGAGCATGTAACATATACACCCAGGCACACAGAATTTTGTGTAGAGTTTCAAGGAGCATTTAGGCTCCTTGGGACCCAAAGTAAGAAATTAAAAATCACCTAATCCACTGGTTTCCAAATTAGGGCATAAGAACCCTCTCTCCAATCAAAACCAAATGTGAAATCCTGGTCTCTAATACAGGGGCTCTCAATCAGGGGGCATTTTGCCCTGGGGATAGTTAGCAATATCTGGAGATACTCTGGGTTTCCACACCTTGGGGAGGGGGAGGAGCTACCTCTGTGAAAGTGCAGACACCTGCCCCAGATCCAGGCTTTCCCGCGAGGGTTCAACCACAGAGTGACTTTTCCAGCAATTCCTCCTTCGTCTCACGTCCATTCATTCCACACCCCCTAATCACGTGTCCC